GAAATCAATGTAAAGCCATGCTCTTTAGTCCTGCTCAAAATGGACATTTTGAGATTCCTCCTGGAGAGGGTGAAATGGAGGACAGGTCCTAGAAAAAGAGGACCTTTGGTGTGTGCCCCCCCCCCCAGTTGCGGGGAAACCAGAAATCCTAACACAAAGAAGGCACTGAAAAATATAGGCCCTTCCATAAAATGTAGGACACAACCAACTAAAAGCTAGGAAAACACTCCTGTAAACGCAAAGCCATGCTCCTTCGTCCTGCTCAAAATGGGACATTTTTTAAATTCCTCCAAGGTTGAAATGGAGGAGGGGTCCTGGGAAAGGAGGACGGGTCTGGGTCCCTGCCTCCTTGTTTATTCCTGATTCAGTAAAACAATTCCTGGGTAAGTAAAAATGCACCTGAATCACACTTTTTCTCTGGACTTTTTTATTTTGCAATTTAGGGAGAGTTATTCCAACTCTTCCTCTCCTTTCTTCCCTAAACTGAGGATTCTCTGACTCCAAGGAGGGAGGCTTACTCCCCCCAAAAAAGTTTTTAAACTAGGAAAAAGGGCCCGATCCACCCTCCATTGCGAAGGAAACCCCTAAAAGGACCCCCAAAGATTCACAGGACAAGCTGATGGCAAGTTTACTCAAAGAGAAAGGCCAAGGGAGTCCAATGGGGCTTACTCTCAGGTAAAGGCAGGCTGACCAAAGGCTCTCCTCGCAAAATGGAGGACATCCGGGAAAATCTGGGACATGACAACCCATAAAAAGCTCTATACACCTCCCAGGAGTGTAAACTCGTGCTTCAGAGTCATGCTCAAAATGGAGGACCTTTTGCAAATTCCTCCTGGGCAGGAAGGTTGGAATGGAGGACAGGTCCTGGAAAAGGAGGACCTCTAGTCACCCTGGTTTGTGTGTGTGTGTGTTGGGGGGAGACTAAGGTGGCAAAAATGGAGGACACCCAAGAAAAACTGGGAGGGAATGACAATATATAAAAGCTTGGAAACACTCCTCTACAAAGGAAAACTCGTGCTTCTCAGTCATGCTCAAAATGGAGGACCTTTTGGAGCCTTTTTTGGGGGGAGGGGGAAATGTAGGACATTGCAAAATCAAAGATCAAGCCATTCAGATAAAGGTAAACTTATGCTTCTTCGTCTTGCTCAAAACAAGGGAAGGCATTCTGGACATTCCTCCCGGACAAGGAAGGTTGGCATGGAGGACAGGTCCTGGAAAAGGAGGACGTGAAGTGGGAAGAGGAGTCTTGCAACAGATTCCAGGTTTTTTTTCCCCAAAGTTTCAAGGCGAGCGATTGCAAAGCAACTCCTTTTCCTCTACAAACACAACAAAACAGCTCCTTGTCACATGCTCGACCTGCAACAATGCAACCCGCCTTTTGCACGGCTGCGTCCCCAAAACTTCAGCTAATAATAATAATAATAATAATAATTTTTTAAAAATAGATTGCAGCCTCATAGTCACAGATTGCAGAGGGAGACGCTCCCCTGGAAGGAAATTAACCTGTTTTGCAAAAAAAGAAAGAAAGAAAGACCAAACTTGTCCCAACTCCTGTCTCAGATTAAAAGTGACTTTGTCCCCCTCCCAAAAAACCACCCCGTCCTCAGCAATCCCTTACCTCTTGCAAAGGAACGGCGTGCTGTGTTGTTTTGTGTGTCCTTTGCTGTTGCGTTGCGTTGCGCGACCTTCCTTCTTTGCTCCTGCAAGGATGCAAAGGCTGCTGCTGCAAGTCCTGGGCTTCGCTTCCCTTCCAGCCCCCTCTGCGCATGCGCCAATTTCCCACGCCTCGCTTCTCCTCAATGGAGCTCTTTGGCATGCGGCGTTCCATTGTCCTTTTAAGGGAGAAGGAGGGCCGGGAGGAGGGGGCGGGGCCAGCGCATTGTGACGTCTGGGTGACGTCACCACAGGGGGGAATCAAGGCGGGAGGGCGCGCGCCAGAGAATGAAGCCGCAGAATGCGTCCTTGCGTCCGTACTGCAGAAATAATCCGGTTTGACGCCGCTTTAATTCCCTTGGCTCAAGGCTGTGGAATCCCGGAACTAATAGGATTCAAAGATTCAAACTACATTTCCCAGAATTCCATAGCCTGGAGCCGTGGCAGTTAAAAGGAAGCGGGATCCAATCGGTTTATCTCAGCGTGCGGATGCACCCCTTCTTCTCCTCCCCATTAAATCAGTTTATGTAGAGCGATGTCTTGTAGCACCAAACACACTGCAGAAAATAATCCACTTTGAGACCGTTTGAACTGCCCTGGCTCAGTGCTAGGGAATTCTGGGAACTGTAGTTTGTTGTGAGACATTGAGCCTTCTCTGTCAGAGAACTCTTGGGGCCACAATAAACTACAGTTCCCAGGATTCCTTAGCACTTAGCTAGGGAAGTTCAAGCCGTCTCAAACTGGATTATTTCTGCAGTGTGTTTTGGACCTAACTGAAAGAAAGAAGTACCTGGGAATGGTAGTTTGTTGTGGCACCAGAGTAAAACAGTGGGAAACTGTTTGTACTGCAGCTCCCAGCATCCTTCACCATTGGCTACACTGACTAGGGCAAGTCAGCTCACAACTAAGGTCCAAAACACACTGCAGGAATAATCCAATTTGAGACCCTGGCTCAGTGCTAGGGAATCTTGGGAACTGTAGTTTATTGTGGCACCAGAGTTCTCTGACAGAGAAGGATCAATGCCTCACAACAAATTACAGTTCCCAGAATTCCCTAGCATTGAGCCAGGGCAGTTCAAGCGGTCTCAAACTGGATTATTTCTGCAGTGTGTTTTGGACCTTATGCCGAAGCTTATAAAGTACATTGGCTTTTTAAAAGTACCACAGCATGTGGCATCATGTATGAACTTGCACCACTAATGTCTTCTGAGCAAATGCAGACACTTTTTGTCTGCACAGGTAATAATCTGGCCGAGTTTGGCACTGGTCCACTATTAGCCAAGTTTGACATCCTTTGTAACTTTGTAAAGTTTGGTATCAGGAAGAAATTCTTCCTAGATGCATTAAAGATCCAAAGGTAGGGAGGGGTGCCATTTCATTTCTGCAGTCTACAGCTCTTACTCTCATAGCTGTTTCACACATTTTGTGGTTATTTCTTGAAAGCCCTTCTTCACAAGCGGCACAGAGATCTAAAAGCCCTTTGGGGAACGATAGCCTAGTGAGAGCATTAACCTGCCTGCTTATAACTTGTAATTTGCTCATCAAATTATGAATCTCAGAACAAATCCATCAGGGACACCTTTATTGGCCAACCAAAATGCACAACATACTTGTTGCAAGCTTTCGAGGCTCCATGGGATTCTTGATCAGGCAAGATGTTACAAACCAAACAGGAGAAAAACAATTGGAGATGTCAGTCAGTTTCTATTTATCGGTTTGTCTTTAAATTTTATTTTTAATGAATCTGTTATTGTTTTAATTGATATATGATTCAATAATGTTTTAAGGGGGAGAGGGAATATACTGTTTTATCTTTGTTGTTCTTTTAACTGTTGTAAACCGCCTAGATTGGTTCGCCATAGGGCGGTATAGAAATAAAAATAATAATAATAATAATAATAATAATAATAATAATAATAATAATAATAATAATAATAATTATTATTATTATTATTATTATTATTATTATTATTATTATTATTATTATTATTATTATTATTATTATTATTATTTGCCTACATGTTGTTTCAGTCTTTGCCTGATGTGGGCCAACTAAGTTCCCATTGACTCAATGTATTTACTCTAAGACTGATAACTGGGTTTAGCCCTTTTGAGTTCATTAGAGCTTTTCCCAGATTGCTAACTATGATAGACAAATACTGTATGTATTTCCAATGGAGATCTTTCTACATTTAAATATGTATTTCTTCATAAAATTAAATTAGTAACATAATGAGCTAACAATGATCCAAGTGAAATTGGACTGGAAACTAGCAGTTCACTTTTCTTCTGACTGCTGTTCCTAGAAAACATGTTTATATGTACAGTTTTTCAATCATGCCAAAATTATTAGGTTTCCAGCACTTTCATTTCCCCCTTTTGGGCTCTTATTAGGGAATAAGCCTCATTGAACTCACTGGGTATATTCCTGACATAATGAGCATTCGTAAAGTAAGGGAAATGTATGGCTTTTGATATCTGATGGGAGTTGACACCCAAAGCACGTACAGGCCACTAGATTGCTAAAGAATGAACTAGTGCAGTGGTTTTCAGTCATTAATCCCTATATCGCCTCTTCATATACAACATTGTCGTCATATGCCCAACAGATAGTAATATACACCTGTGAGATAAGATGAGCAAAGTCCATTAAGTTGGGACCCACATTTTAGGATGGGTAAATGCTCAAAGCCCTCACGCCCAAGGGTTGTGGCCTAAGAAACAGAACTGAAAAATTATATATATAATCATGATCTAAATTATCTATATAATATCCTGGAGGCAGCAGGGTCACCCTGGTTAGTACTTAGTTGGAAGACCACCTACAAATACCAGATGCTATAGGTTATATAGCATATAAATAAGGTGCTATAGGTTATATAGCATATAAATAAGGTATATAAATAAGCTGCTTTATGAATGGGACAATAATCATTATAGTCAACATAGCTATGTCAATTAGAGATTCTAGTCTAGTGCTTTTTCTCAGTGACTTCAATGCATTCAGCAGTTTACTGCCAAATTTTGGTAGGAATTTCATTATTTTTTAAAACTAAGCACTTAAAAAATCTGGAGGGTGGAGCAGCCTCAACTTTGTCCAGCCTCTAGTAAAACTTTTGAACGCTCCCCAACATTGTATTTGAGCCCATCTGAGACTTTTCCCCCACTCCTGTTCCTTGCTTTTAACACTGCTGCCTTGATTTCCTTTTGAAAGATAATCACACAGTCACACTGTTTATAGACAGAAGAGTATTGCTTGCTGACTTTGTCATTATGGAAGATTTTTGTCTCAAAGGTGGACATTCCTGTTCCATTGCTTTTTATTGTGGACAACTTTAAGTGTCTGAGCCAGTGTGATATAGTGGTTTAAGCATCAGACTATGACTCTAGAGACCAGGGTTCTAATCCCTGCTTGGTCATGGAAACCATTGGTTGGGCACATCACACTCTCTCAGCCTCAGAGGAAGGCAAAAGGCAACCCCCTACCTCACCAGTATTGGTGTCACCCACCCACCCCATTGACCTCCTCCCATACCACACCATACAGAATCCTTAGTAATGTTTTTTGTACTAATGTTATTAATCCTAATATATCACTGAATGTAGTGGTAATAGTTGTGACATAAACAACTAGTGCAATTGAAATTATACTTTAAAATGACAGTATCATACACACTGCCTAAATATATTTACATAGTTTCATGTGCTTAAAGTGAAAATGTGGTAAAATGTGATGTTTTAAAAGAATTTAAAATTTTTATTTTTATTTTTTGAAATCTGAAATTTTAATTATAAATAAAACAAAACCTGGGACCTCTCCTTTCTCCTCCCAGTGAGCCTCACACTCTCGCTTCAGCATGTTAATGGGACACAGGTGAATGCCACAGCCCGTTTCTACCAAAAAGCAGTTGTTTGAGGAACAGTAGTGTCACCCCTCCTTAGGTTGTCACCTGGTGCAGTCCTCACCCCTGCACCCCCATATTGATGCCACTGCCCACTCCCCAAAAATCCTGCCAAGAAAACCCCATAATAGGTTTGTCTTAGGACCACCGTCGGTTGGAAATGATTTGAAGGCACGCAACAACAAAAGAAATTTGGAATTTTATCCCCAGGACAGACGGAGCAGTTTACATCTTTTCGCCAGTGATTTTCAGAAGGCATTGCAAGAAGAGAGAATCTGGGTGGCCATCTGTCAGGGATGCTTTGATTGGGAGTTCCTGCATGGCAGGGGGTTGGACTGGATGGCCCTTGTGGTCTCTTTCAACTCTATGATTCTATGATTCAATGATTCTATGTCTGAAATCCTAAATGCTCCCATTTGCTCCCAAAGTTCTTTAAAAAAACAACCCCAAGATTTGTAGACCATCCAATGGGGAGGGATTTGTGTGTATTCCCCCACTTAAAGAATGCAGCCTTAAAGCTTGGGGGAACCATGGTTGGCATTCCAGGGATTCTTAGAATACAACTCCCATCAGCTTCAGTTATTCATGGCCAATGGTGAGGGATAATGGGCATTGCAGCCCAACATCTGGAGGACTCCACATTTCCTGCTCTTCTTGCTGTTTAATATCAGGGTGGGAGAATGCTCTCTCACTCACACGCAGATGCGTATTTTTGTCTCATCTGCAATTCTGTTCAGTTGTTATGTTGTTTTTCTACCAGGCAGAAGTTAGGCCAATTGTCTATCTCCAGTTTGTGCGGCTATTATCTCAGCTAAAGGTATGCCAATCCTTTGCTAGCTTTGAAACTGGATCTCATTCAAAACTCTCGTTTATGGGCACATGAACACAAATGGTCTGTTTTATGGGCTGTCAGCAACCAGCCAGCATCTGGCAACTTCAAGGCAATGGTAAAACTACCCATATACACTCAACTATATGTCAGCCTTGTAAGGACTTGAACCTGGGGAATTACTAAAGTCCAAGTCTTCAATGGGATCTTTTATCCTATGTTTACGGAGGTAGTTAGGGAATAGAATGATAGAGACAAAGCTTTCCAATGAACTGTGATTTATTTGGGGATTCAAGCATACAAAGATACTCTTAACATTCACTCATACACACAAGAACTAAGGAATAAAGTAGTAATCTTGGAGAGGAAACAGAAGGCTTTCTAATGCTGATAATTACCTGACAGAGGCTATTCCAACTATGAATAAAGATGGATAGACTCAACTGTTATGAAAGGGAAAGCACAATGGAAAGAGCTGGGACTCTAGTCAGAGTTCACAGTGGCGCAGTGTCACCATGAAATCTAGCCAGACTCCAATGTGCCTGAGATTTTGGGGATCTTTTATACCCTTAAACCTAGCCTGAGATGAAGAGTTGCTATTGTATATCAAAGGATTCCACTTACTACTCTTTGAAGTGGACAATTTCCAAGGAGAGGAGATGGGATGTTAATGTTATCTCATCTTCAGCTGGACACATCCTGACTGGTACTCATAAATCTCCTAGGTGCGAATGTCCTGCTTTGCAGCTCCTAGGCCTGACCCTTTTGATCTGCAAATTGTTGTAAGTGCAGACATGACCTCTCAGGTGTCTACGTGAGGTGCTCGCTTTGGATCCATGGCGGTGGGGCTTTTTCAGTCTAGGGCCATGGCAGGGACCCACAAAAGTTTTTTTTTAAAATATTAAATCAATTATTGTAACAACAACCTCATGTATAAGTCGAGGGTAGGTTCTGGAGCCAAAATTATGGATTTTGATATGATTCATGGATAAATCAAGGGTAATACAACAAAGGATGAAGCAAAGGAAAATAATGCCAAAGAACTTACAATATTCCAGCAGGCATGACTGTTTGTGCTCCCACTAAAGGCTGGATGGATGAGACAGCTGAAGGATGTCAGTGCTGCTAGGACAGATTACATTCTTGCCTTTCACAGGGGTGGTTCCTTTTTAAGTAAGAGTTAAAAATACACTACTTACACTGACTAGTAGATGGGTCACTTTTTTGACTAAAATTTCTAGACTTACACATTTATACATTTATAGAAATATAAAATTTCTAGACTTCTTTGGAACAGGAGAGGGAAACTGCAGAGTCCTGTGGGCCAATTTTCTCCCTTTGAAACCTTTTAAAGCAGGGGTAGGCAACCTTTCCCCTTTAAGGGCCGAGGAACTTCAGCTCCCAGAATCCCAGGATCTATTGGCCAACATGGGACTATCGGCCAACATGGCTGAGGCTTCTGGGAGCTGAAGTCCCTCGGCCCTTAATGGAGACAGGTTGCCTACCCGTTCTAAAGGCTGCAAGGGATTGCCAAAAATACTGATCCAAAACTAGCTCCCAAAATGGAACTGGCCAGGAGACCTCCAATAGTTTTGAAATTTAAAAAAAATGTTAAAACAATCCAGAAGACCTTTCTGTCAATTTTAAAGGTGCATTACCTTCCATGTACCTAAAAGGTAAATTTTCTGTCCTATCCAGAGATTCATCTTTCTGTTTTGGCCAGAAAACAGGCCATCCAGGAAGCTAAGGAAAAGGGCCACGCCACTTGGTGGGACGCAGAGTTGCCCAACTGTTTTAGAGGCTTTGTTGTTGTTGTTGTTGTTCCAGGTTGTGGAATTCTCTCCCATGTGGGGTTTAGTTGGCTTGTTCTTTCCTTTCCTTTTGCTGGCAGGCAAAGACCTTCTTATTTGGACAAGCTTTTGGCGTATACATAAACAGAAAGGGATTTTGGTGGGGTTTTGCTTGCATCATGTGTTTTTATCTTTTTACATTTTGTTTTTATCTTTTTTATTATGCTTGGTGTTTTAATCTATTTTAATTGAACTTTTAATTGTTTTATTTCAACTTTTTGTATAAATAATGCTTTAACCATATTGTTTTTTTAAATGCAGCAGGTCGCCTTGAATCCCGTACATAGAAAGGTGAGATAGAAATCAAAGCAAGCATGCAAACTACAAATTAGTTGGGAGGATAGATACTTAAACATAAAAGCATGACATCCATCTCTGTGATTCTGAAGCTCTCCTGACTCTATCAGGATCCTCAAACATACATTAAAAAATACCTCCATCATTGGAGAAAGCACTGGTGTGTAGGCCACGAAGACATTGCTCTTGGAAAGGCTGATACCAGGCAGCTTAATAGAATTTGTAAACAGGTAAAACACACCAGTGGGATGTTTTCTATTAGACTTGCACAAAACTGATCTGGTGTTATCCTATGTATTTCGCAATATATTTCAACATCTTGCTACAGGGAGGGTTACCAGCATAGATCAGTCCTGCATAAGTTAGTTTAGAGTTGATGTTGCTCCCCTATAGATAGATGTGTGTGCACATATTATTTATTGATTTTTAAGAAAGCACTGTTTGACAGAATTTGTTATTCTCACAGTTTTATTTGTAAAGACCATTGCATGAAAAGCTGTATTTAATTGTAATCCAAACCCTGGGAACGGGGAAAAGAAAAACCAACCCACATCAGTTTGTGATATGTATGCTAAAGTGCTTGAAATAACAATACTTTTACCAATATTCACTTCCTGAACACTTCCAGTCTTGATTAACTTACTAATCATGTAAAACATAAACCAGCAACATACTTTGAATATACTTAACGGATGGGGAGGAAAGAGTTATTTAATAAATTATATCAGGTCTATTTGTACAATTTCAAGTGTAACATACAACATTTCCTTAATAAGATATCTACCTTTGACGTAGGAAGAGAAAACAAAATACGTATAACTGCAGCATTTCTCAAACACACTCTAAACAAAAAGGCAATTAACAGCCCAGTCTCAAACATTTTTATTCAGAGGTCAGTTCCATGTAATACATTGGAATTTACCTTTGAGTAAATGGGCTGCAGAAGTGTCTGCTCAGAATATGAAGTAGTGGGAATCTTCCAGCATTGAAACCACTTCATTCTGATTAGTCTGAGATTTGTAAACTGTTTACATACTACCGGTAATCCACATTTCAATTCTATTTTTTTTCTCTTCAATTTAAAAACAACAACACTATGTTAATTAAAGAACTCTATTAAAGAATGTTTGAGAGCCACAGTTCTTGAATACAGAATTTACTCTTTTAAGTTACCAGAAGGCTTTGGTCGTTTTAAAAATTCAGTTTCTCACATCCACAAAGGATTATTAATACTGATGTCAAAAGGATGTGTCAAACTGTAGAAAACCACAAGTAAGTCTTCATCCTTCTTAAAATTTACAATAGTTTCTTTACATTCCAAGTGATCAAAGCTGTCTGGTTGCTGTTTTTTATTTGTAAAATTGCACACAAAAGGAATAAAACAAGTGTCACAAGGAACAGCACTCCTGAAGTTGTCAAATAGACTAGTCTATCAGAGATCAATCTCATGCTTCAAAAATACCTTAAGGTTGGGATAATATGACATAAACGTACAGCATTATATTGCCTAAAGAGACAGACATAGGATGTTTTTCCAACAC